GCATTCTGTTAGTTTTAGCAAACATATCGATCGATGTAGTTATAAATTTCAACCAGTAGATTGATTTGTAAATATTTTATTTAGACTATTCGAAGTATTTTAAATGATATGATAATATGTAAAGGATGCTCAATATTTGACGAAAGACATTGTTTGGAAGTTGTGGTATTTCAACTACTTATGTTTTGCCTTTATTTTTTATTTTATGGTATATGATTCCTTACGCTTTTAATTTAATTTGCTTATTTGGCGCAAGATTCATGAGACAAATCCATCAGACTCTGTTCAACTTTTTACCTATGATACACATATCAACATTGCTGATGATATTGATGAAATCACATCATTGCTGGGTTCTACTACATTGGAAGAGAAAAATCCAAAATCTGTTCCAGGTCTTCATGAAGCCTATGAAGCTCTCTATGAAATAATTAGTTACCCATTAATATATCAAGACTTAATCCAACAATTAAATATCGAGTGTCCAAAAGGTTTTAATCATAATACCTACGATTATATATGATTTATATTATTTATATTATTTATAGGTTAATTCTATACTTGTTGCATTAGGAATTTTACTGTACGGTCCACCTGGTGTTGGAAAAACATTTCTTGTTAATCAAATCTCTAAGGCTTGTGATGCGAAAATGGTACGGTTTCCAAAAACTTGATTTTAACTAGAGGTGCTGGTGAAATAATTTCCTCGATTTCACCAATAGCGGTGAAGTTATTTCACTAATTAAAAACCAATTTTACTAATGATGATGAAATTATTTCAGCAGCATCTTGAATTCCAATTTTAAGTTTACCTTGTTAAGATGTTATCACATTTCATAGATTACTGTTAATGGGCCCGATATTTTTGGGCCATTTTTTGGTGAAAGCGAAAAGAGATTGCGTGATGCATTTTCTCAAGCAAAAAATTTGACAATTAAAGAGAATTGTCCAGTAATTCTATTTATTGATGAATTGGTATTTAATTTTAAATCAACTGATGATGCATATTTAATTTTTGTTGATGTATATCTTTAAACATTTTGTAGGATGTATTAGCGCCGCGCAGAACTGAAACACAATTTCATGAGACACGCGTTATCGCACAACTCTTGACATTAATGGATGGTATGGAGTCGCGGGGTAGGTTAATAGTTATTGCGGCAACCAACCGACCAAACGCAATTGATCCGGCATTAAGAAGACCTGGTAGGTATGAAATAATAAGACTTTTTCGATGTATTAGTATATGAACTATAAAATTGTTCTATTTTACTTATGAAATTCTTAATAGGTTTGATCGTGAAATAGCTGTGGATGTTCCTTCAGAGCAATCACGTTTCGAAATCCTGAAATCACAAACATCTAAAATGCCTCTAGGTGACGATGTTGATCTGGGCATGTATACATTATTATGATAATTGTTTTTTTCATACTGATACTTACGTGTGAAATGGTGTTCTTATAGCCCTGTTGGCTTCCGTTACAAATGGTTATGTTGGAGCTGATTTGGCTTCTCTTTGTCGGGAAGCAGCGATGAACGCCGTTCATCGACAAGTAGCACTTGAAAAGAATGAAGTTGTAAAGTGCGTTTAGGATTTTATTGTTTTAAACTAAATTATATATTATTAATAAATTACTTGATACTGTAACATATAGCTTAATACCAAAGATAAAGATGGACGACTTTACAGGTGCAATGTTGCATGTCGTACCGTCTCTACGACGCGGGTATCATATCAATGTTGGAAAGATAAATTGGGATGACATTGGAGGGTTAGAAGATGTAAAAAAGGTTGATATTAAGTACTAAAATATATATGTCTTGATTCATTAATATTAATGAGAACTTCAAAAAAAATTTGAATAGAAATTAAAGCAGGCAGTAGAATGGCCCATAAAATATCGACATACATTTGAAAGATTAGGT